GGGTGGGGGGTGTCGGGGTGCTCTTCAATAGCTTTTTCATCTATACACACAAACGGATGTAACCAAGACACTCAGAACCTGTCACGCAGGGGCTGACTGCTGAGGATAGGGATCCAATGCGGTGCCCTTGGTAGGGTTGGCTTTAAGAGGTTTCGTGAAAGCGCTACAGGCGTGCCAAAATCGTTTACGAACTTCAAGCTAACTTTACCCCAGTTGGATTATTGAGGTGCAAACAGTGGTTCAAAATCAACATCCTCTGCTATTGCCATTGCTTCTTTGATAGTTTCTTCAAATTCCTCATCTGACTTTCAATATCGAGGGATATTGTGCATAATACCATACTATTTGTAGCTTTCTTTTGATCGCCTGTTTTATTAAAATGCCAGCCTCTTTTACTGTTATTTTAGATGTTTGGCAAGGTGTAATATCCTCCCTCGCATCCTCAGCTAAAATATTTTAAAAGTACAATAAAATTACATTATATTGAACAGCACTAGGTTAACATTTAGAATTCCTAAATGCCTCACTCCGGCGATCTGTCATTTTTGCTGATCAAGTTCTCAGATAATTTTGCATTGTATTTTAAATTATTTTAGCTGAGGATGCAACGGGAGTATAAGTGAATTCTCCCGCCAGCCATTGGAACATAAATTTCCGTGGGTGAATACTATCTGCTTGGAAGTTGCCCTTGTCGGTAATTATTGGAAATTCCTGGTAATGTTGACTCTACCGCAGTCTTTACCTCTGACCAACCCTCAATTGTTTACTACTGCAAATATCAAAATAGTTAAGGTTTTGCGGACAAATTAAATATCTGTGGTAATGATGTTTACTATGGGAGGAAGTGCGTCCCTGGGTGGGCTCAAAACACTCACCTTTGGGCTAAGAGCCAAACACGCCAACCAAATGCACCACAGAAATGCTCACACACCGCTTTTTTCTATTTACATACTTTTGATGCACAAAAAAATTTGCTCACATTTCATCTTTCGTAAGATATATGATTTAAAAAAGTTCCACAAAGGAAATTAATACATGCATTAAACCAAATCAAGCCCTCTGTGAGTGTCCCGAGTGATCTATTCTGTAAAACAAGACAGGAAGAAAGGTATCGCCAGAATTTGAACCCAGAATTTCCTCTTTATTAAACAGCTGCATTAACCAGCTAAACCACGGCGCCAGCAGAGCGGTTTGCTTATAGCCGCTTGGACATACCGCTCTGAGACATCTGCGTTCGGTGTGCGCTGAGCCTGCTCGCCGAGCAAGTTGCCTCATTTTCATACACTAGCAGCCCCGATACTAAGAGACTTTGGCACTTTTCATATCCAAGGAGATCAATGTGCTTTCTGTGTACAACAGGGTGTCCTCTATACTCGCCACTGAAGCACAGGACACGCCTGGTGGATTGACATCACTCAAGCAAAATAATGAAATGGCAGGTGGAAGAAGAAAATGACCATCAAGAATGAAGAAAGATGATCTTGAGCGCGCCAACTCATGTCCGAAGGGGCTGACTTCTTTGACAAGGTGGCCGAGTGGTTAAGGTGATGGACTGCTAATCCCTTGTGCTCTGCACGCATGGGTTCAAATCCCATCCTCATTGTCTTGAGCTTTTGACTTGTGATCCGTTTCTTAGTCGGGTTTGTGCACTTTTGCTACTGTAGTAGAGCAGTAATATTTCTAGCGTTGGCTGAACATGGCTTACAGCAGTAGCTGACAGACAATAGTCTCTTAATATTTAGGTTACACTTATGTTTTGTACTCCTTTCACCTGATATTAATAGTAGTCCTGATGAACGGTTTTGAGACATGGTGCATCTTGAAAAATGTTCTTGTTAATTTCAATTTGGAAAAACTGCTCTCCCCAGAGGTCGTGTTTAAATAATATGCAATGCAATAGCAATGTTTGGAGTTGAACCTAGATATGAGTCCTTACCTGTTAGAGGAGGCGTTTTAGGACTTTTTTTTTTAGCTCAGATACAGCTATCAATTCATCTTACATTTCTACTACATCAGTATTAGCAACGTTATCTTTACCTAGCACTAAATGTAGCTTTAAATAAGAGTAAATTTTAAAATATATGTAAAAGTAAATGCTATTCCATATATTGTAACTTTGTGGTATAGAATGTTTATCTGAGGATGCAAGGGAAAGTATTATATCTTGCGAAACATCCAAGACAAAGGTAAAAGGCTCATATTTTAATAAAATTTTCAATCAAAAGAAAACCACTCTGTATATCATTGTTAATATCCCAAGATATCGAGGTTCAGTTGAAAGATTTGAAGAAACTCTCCAAGAAGCAACTGCAGTAGCGGAGTTTTGATTTGAACAAATGTTTGCACCTCAATAATCCATTAGTCCTCGAAAGAAATAAAGGCAGGGATGTTTTGAGTGTCACTATGATCCTCTTCTCAATTCAAAAGAAAGGTTTTGTATGATCCTGATCCCACTAGGAAAGGAGTCAATTTCTGCCTGCACTGATATCCCTTCAAACGATTTGTAAGATCTCTGGTAGAATATACAGTAGAATCCTGGTCTATTTCTTCTACTAAAAGAGACTATGGGAGTGAGTATTTTGATGTCGAACTGGGATTTAAATAAACAGAAACAGTACACTACATTGGGCTACGCGGATGACAAAACGTGGGCGTTTTGAGTTTACCTTTCCATAGCTCAGTTGCTAGAGCGTAAAACTGTTTAAAAAAGCAGCGGGCGATTGTTATGTCGCTGTTTTGAATCTGGCTCGAAGGATGGTGTTTTCTTGTTCCTTAATTAAAAAGTGAAAACAGCGAATTTGTCTTTCACTTTTACGTTCACCAAACGCTCAGCAAACAGAGAAGCAGAGGCTCCTGTTCTGATCTATCCTCACGTCTGATTGTCTTGCTTTGACCTTTGAAATATGCACTGTTGACTGTTCACTCTTCCTAACACAATTAAAGACTTGCGGAAAAAACTCGGTATCTGGAGTTTAGTTCAGTGGTAGCGCGCGCGTACTCTATGAAGCTTCGTTTTCAATCGCCGGCGTTTCCACTCTGGATTCTTTTTAAACGCGATATCTTTCTTTCCTCGTGTGACTTCCCTCGTGTGTGAATTTCAGGGAGACACATAAACCCTTTGTCTGTTTTAAAGAGACATTTTTTTTAAAACCAGACAAAACGAAAGACGTAGTAATTAGACACACGTATAAAAAACACGTGAATCTAATTGAGAAAATGTGGACAGGGGCAATGCATTACTAGTAGCGGCTCTGAGCTCACTGTAGTGCAGTTGACTAAAGCGATAGTAGGGCCAGTAGCGCAATGGATAACACGTCTGGCTTCGAATCAGAAGATTGTAGGTTCGATTCCTGCCTGGCTCGTGAAGCTTTTAAACCACGCTACTCAACACTGTCCCCTAGTGTGTGCGGTCCTACACAACCTTACTATTGACTGGATGAGTCTCCTGTTCTATCTCCAGTTCTTTCCACACATTCTGCATTTTTCACCATCGTTATTGTAGGACAATACAGATATGAGAAGAGATACTTTTCCGAACAACTGTCTTAAATAATCATGTTGATAAAGGTGACAATAAGTTTTTTTTCTTTAACATAACCTTACATTTGCCTATAAAGTTCACACTATTTTCTGTAGCCACAGATCGCCAATATTTCTGCTGTCTCCTGAGACAAGTATAGAGTTCAAACACAATAAATAATACCACAAATCTATTCAGTTAACACCCAGATGTGACAGAACGGATGTAAGACTTACACCCCCTTTAAATATGTATTTCCTTCATTTCAGTTCTCTTCCCTCCCCAGTATACCTGCAAATTCACTATCACATAATAAAGGCTGTACATGCATTACCTGTAATACAGCTACTAATAAAGATATACATTAAAGTTAATTATTAATAAATAATACTATTATTCATAAAGATGTGTATTCATAAGATTAATCGTGAATAGTTGTGGTGTCTGGAAAGCAACGCCAGTGGGCAGTGATTTGTCAAATATAAGTATTGTAACGCCCTCTCCCGGTGGTGAAGAGGAAGCGCCCCTAGGCGCTCATAGTACCGCTGGGCAGGCTGGGAGTTGTAGCCGGGGAGAGTCTGAGGGTCAGCACGATGACCAGCAGCTGACCCTACCTGTGTAAATAATGTCATAGTAGTTCTAGTGTCCTGTGTAGTCTTGTGTATAGCATGTTGTTAGGTAATTACCACCCTAAAGATGTTTACGTGCTCCGTCAGACTCCTCATGTGTGTGTATATTCTGTGTTTGGTTTTGTGTGGTTGATAAAGAATAAAGCTATCATTTGGTTCATTTATCTCGTCTCCATTGGTCCTTTGTCCTGAGAAGAACCTGTAAATGCTACATTGGTGTCAGAAGCGGGCAGGATGGACAAACCGTGGCAGACATTAACCGATTCTGTCAAGCGCTGGCTGACTGAGGAGAATATGCGGCACTGGCAGCAGCTCTTCGGCTGCGCTTAGGCGTGGAGGAGGTGCCGGATCTGATGCGGGAGAGGCTGGCCCTGCTGCGGCGCTGACCAGGAGAGCGACTGGGCCCGGTTGCCGCTGATGTCATGTTCCTCGCCCGCCTAGGATACCCAGCTTTTCCCCAGGAGGCGCAGCGGGAGATGGCTCTCCAGGCCTTTCTCAAGGCCCTCTCACCCGAGGAGCTGCGGCGCCACGCACAGCTGGCCGCGCCAATATCACTGGAGCAGGCCTTGGCCCTTGCTACACGGGCTGAGGCCGTGTTCGGGGTGGCTGGAAGCGCCAGCAGACACAGTGCGCCCTGCCGGCTGACCGAGGCGGCGACAGAGGAGTCCAGCGAGGGGGAAGAGGAGCCAGGCCATGCAGCGACCACCGCGGAACAGCCCCGTACTGCCGGGCACCCGAACCTCGCACTCCTCGATCGGCATTGGGAAACGGGAACAGGGCGGCTCAGCGCAGGAATGGCTGCCCGCCCTTGAACACCTCAACCCCCACTCCGGAGAGCGCTGTGAAGACCGGCACCCCTCACGCCACTGTGGGGCGAGTTGGCTGTAGCCAGAGTTGGCTGTACCTCCACTGCCAAATCGAGGACCAACCCTGCCTGGCCCTGCTCAACACCAGTTCATCGGTAACCCTACTCCGGGGTGGGCGTCCTCCCCGACACCGAGGGCACCCCCCCACCAGGATGGGGGGCCTCTGGCCTGCGGCTAAGGACCGTGACGGGACAGCTTGCAGCAGTCCGGGGGAAACAGGTGCTTGCTTTCCGTCTACAGATGCAGCCATTCAAAGTGAGCGGTACAGACACGTACCGCAGGTAAGATGACACGGGGTACCG